CTGTTACCACGGACTCTTTTTGCTAAGGAAATAACTAATCTTTGGCGGCCATTTTCTCACTTATTTTACCTCTGAAAACAGGTGACCCCCACCTCCTTTATTCGCAGATATCTCGACTTGCAATCATAATAAATTGATATTTTTTCCATCCAAATAAAGACAAGTGAACAAGCTTTAAGATGATACTAATAACTCTACATGCCCAAAAATTAACGAGAGCCTGATTCCGCCACGCTGCTTCACATATAATTTTAAAACAGAAATGACTTCAGCTTACATTTGAATGAATCAAAAAATTTGATCTCTCTTATAGTACTTGACAAAGCATTCCAGATCTTGGGGCCTTGATATTCAATTGCTCTTTCACCCACTGTTTTAAGTTTCATAGATGGTACAAGAAATTTCTTTTTGTCAGCTGATGACCTTTAAACTGGGAGTTGAAATGTACAGTCTCAGCAGGATTGATAAATATGACGGCGCATTATCATTCAAGTACTTGTTACATAGGGTGGCCGTCTTCTGCACAATTCCTTTCTCATAGTTATCTATCTCTTAACTTGTATAACATTATTGTCTATCACTTAACTTGTATAACATGGATATCTATCACTTAACTTGTATAACATGGATATTTATCACTTAACTTGTACAACTTGGTGATCTATCTCTTAACTTGTATAACATGGATATCTATCACTTAACTTGTATAACATGGATATCTATCTCTTAACTTGTATAACATGGTTATCTATCTCTTAACTTGTATAACATGGATATTTATTACTTAACTTGTAAAACATGATTATCTATATCCCAACTTGTTGCAAAGGTGTCATCTTTAACATTAACTTGTGAAATATAAGTATCCTTCACTGTACTGGTATACTTTAACGATGTTTAATATTGATATAAAAAAAAAGAATAAAGGACGACGGTTTCATGACTCTATAGTTATTTATTTCAGCAATTTGCAAAGAATATCGTATTGATCAATTTCAATTCAAAATCCCCCTAGGGCGAATTCGCGTAGTCCTTGCGCCACCATTTGCGTGCAAAGACACCTCTGTTCCAGTCTTATAGTTACTGCTGGGTGGCGTCGGTAGCCTAGTGGTTAGGCTACCGGACTTGTAATCGTGAGAGTGCGGGTTTGGGGGTTCGAGCCTCAGCTCGGTCCAACGTTGTGTCTTTGGGAAAGGCACTTTGCACGAATTTCCCAACTGGCTCGGTCCTTTCGGAGATGGACGTTGAACTCGGAGGCCTCGCTTCTTAAATAACCTAATAGTGTTGGTAGGGGCGTTAAACCCATACCACTTCACCATTTTCAGTTACTGCTGGCCAGAGGTGGGCAAAGCCCGGATAACCTATAAGGTAACCGGTGCACTCATTTGTCGAAGTGGTTCTAACCCATTTGCCGAAGCGTTTCATATTAAAATTTATCATTGCCAAAGAGGTGCACTATCCTATTATTATCCTGATTCTGCTAAAGCGACTCATTGTCCAGCCCTACTGCTGGCATGCACTGACCACGAATAGCACACGCATGACAAGGAACCGGCGTTCTCTATGTATTGATTGGACCTCTCTCCCGAAATACAAAATGTAAAGTTTCTTGAGGTACTTCGTAAAGGCCTCATCACATCAGGGGGTATAGGTAGTTGGAACTTTCCCGAAAAATAATAATACACACAGGATGTAGTATTACTAGTAGCAATGAAGGTCTCGTCTGTGCACCTAAGGTCATCACTTGCATATAATTTGCTTGTTTCGTTCACGTCACCCTTAGCGGAGCAGTTGCCGGAACTGTTTTCACAGGGATGAGACGGCTTGTCGACAACCGCTGCCGACCTGTTCCACAGGGTAGATGGCGATTCTTGGGTTTTGAATCTCTCCTGGTTTGACGAATGCAAAATGTATCGCAAATTTGATGTTCCAGAAGCCCACCCCAAATACTGTAAGTAAAAGGCTACAGCCTCTCGGATTTTTTGTTATAGAAGTTCGCTGGTCGATCACAAACAGGCGGACGGGGTGTTCTGTCTGTCCATGCGTGGGACACATTGCACATTTTCAGTTGGTAGGAAATTTAGAATTTTGCCAGGGTGGCGGCCGAAGCCTACTCTTATCGATTTTAGACCATCAAGGGATCTTTAACGTGTGCAACCTGTTCACGGACCTCCGATATTTTTCGACCTTTTCCGAGAAGGCTAGGTGTAGATCTTTCCTACCTGAAGATCAGGAGTGTGGCTGAAAGACAGCAGTAAGAAGGTGCCAAAGAGTAGCAGTAGACAGGCTAGAGAGCAGGGAAGGGGGTGAAAGGAGACAATTTCAGAGAAGAAAATTGTTCAGTCGCTACCCGGATTCCAAACCGGGACCTTTGAATGAGAGGCGAACTCCTTCACCTCTAGAGCCCCCTGTCCATGTCTGTCTGTCCAAGTCGTGCCCATGCCAGAAATTGCCGCTTTGCTAGCGGAGCTGTTGTTTGCTGTCTGCTGTTGGCTGCTGGTAGCGAGCAGGATAGCTAACCTAACATAAAAACTTCCGTTCTACACCACACCAACGAAAAGTATTCCGTCTTCTCGAGAGTAAGGGCCTTAATGTCACGGCATGACTGTCTATAGATTATTACGGAATAGCAAATAGTTTGTGAGGATTTGCTCAGGGATAATGACCCAAATGTGAAAATCGCGGCTTCGAGTTGATCTACACTGTGAACGTACAAGACGATACTGCACTTGATGACTTAACCGTATTCCACCCCTTCCGATCCCCCCCCTCGAACGCGGTCTGGGGGCGAGAGTAGTCTCAGGTGTCGTGCTTTCCTTAGCGACTTGTGTGTCGTGACGTTCCGAATCAAGCTTAATATGGGAATAGATTTTGCGGTTGGTTAATGTTAGCTCCCTTCTGAGTACAGAGGAGTTAATTCGATAAGATTA